CCAATGTTTATTCATGGAATTAAGCAGGTTGCTGCATCTATTTTAAGCATGTTTACTATGAAATAGTTGTTTTGCTCATTTCTAAGTACATGGAATCTGTGATGTCTCCATTGTTTTAACATCACTGGAGCAGAGCTGTTACCCCTTATATTGTGTGAAAAATTCATAACAGAAATGCTCCAAAATTGCTCAGAATAAAATATCTTTATATTAACTTGCATTAAAAATGAAGATGGTTTTTGCCCTCTCCTGTAAAGTTACCACTTTGGAGATACTTTTTTGGAAAGAAAAGAAAATTTCCCTCTAATAAAGGTGGTAATAATCATAATATAGGACTGATATTTCTTGGATATGTAAAGTCCAATTACAACAATGCACATTGAGGAAAAAAAAACTCCTGAAAGTGGGCTATAACACATTTCGGAACAAAACACTTCATTTCTTTAAGGTGTTATTTCCAAACAGTAGCAGCAGTAAACAGGGGCAGCAGTAAACAGTGCTCAGTGATGTAAACGAAAGCACAAAAAGTGTAGCTCATATTAGTTGGAACACTTATTTAAGAGCAGTACAGGTGTGGTCTTCGGTCAAGCCTGTATCAGCCAGTCCGTCTGGTTCCCAGCATCCACAGCCCCCCAGCAACTCAAACATGTGACCACTTTTCAAAGCAACTATGTCAATGGTGTGAAAGTTCCATGGGTATGCAGAGATCACATGGCTCGGTATAGAGCAGAATCTAGCCAGCATTCTTTGAATGGCTTTACACATTGCTGCTGCAGTTCATTATCCCAACAATGTGATAATTCCCCCACCATCTCTTATTGGTGGCTGAAGCAACAGGACACGAGTCACCATTCCAACTGAACTAGACCCCCATGAGTTCTGTGACACACAGAACATAGACGGAATCATAGAATTGGGACACAACGAATTTCAGACCTAAACACAGAAAGGAGTGGAATTTGGAGGCTGAGGGAGATTTTTATAAAATCTCACATTTTAAACATTTTGTTTCATTTGTCCTTTTTACACTCTCTTATAACTAAATGAATAAAAAATAAAAAAATAAAAATCGGTATACAAACAGAATAAATCAGACAGATTTCATCAGACCTCTTCTTCACCACTCAGACAGAAATGGAATTCTAATGCACTCTAAGCTGAGATTTATGACACCAGACAACAGTCAATCGATCGACATCATCAATGATCACCATGTAGTCACCTGTGTGATGGCTATCATGTGACAGCACTCACTGCCCCAGCAACAGGACATCGATCATGTGCTGCTGCCCAATACTGCTGACTCAGCATGCCAGCCTCGGGGCAAAACGTGGGGCCAGGGCTGTGTGTGTCCGAGTGTACTAATGGTACATTCCTAACATTGGGATGAACCGACCTATCCATGCTCCATTCCTAAATGTGTTATTTCATAGCAACCGTTGTGAGGTTGGACAAGCCTTAACAGAACACTAGCAGAAACTCTATTCAAAACAGACGAGGGACTGCAGCATACGGTTTCATACATAAAGTTAAGCTTGAAGTTTAAAATATTATATTACCAAGTCGGACTTGTACCTGACTGAAACTAGGCAACAGCAACAGATCTGCCACCATGCTAATGTCGGCTTGGAGATCACTTTTCATTCATTTAATTTCCAGCCGAAACGGCCAATAAGTACAAGTTATACATTCTCAGCATCAGAAAAAAAGCAGAAAACATATATTTAACAGAAAATTACACAGAAGCTTCAACAACTGAATATAACACAATATTATCAATATTTAGTGGGTCCATGCTTTTCCTTATTACAGCTTGACTTGCGCTCAGTTTTTCATAGAAATCTGTAGGGAAACCTCTGTACACCTCTGAAGTTCAGTCTTAAAAGTTTGCTACATTTTCTGCTTCTCACAATGCAAGTAATCCCAAACATTTAGGCTACTGATGTTGAAGTCTGGACTCTGGGGTGCAGAGTCCAATGTTCTGACAACACCAGCAGCTTCTTTGTGTCATTTGCAATTTTTCTTCTGTTTTACCTAATTCCTCTTCTTAGTAACAGCTTCTTAACAGCTACACATACTTTCAGACCCATTTTGTCTCCCAAGTTGTTTTCTCACAGTGGAAGGATTAACAGAAACAGGAGTCCCATTTTCTCTGTATATTTTAAGTAATTATTTAATTTGTTGAGCTCCAGTTTTGGAAACTCCACTTACTTCTAAGTTGACCTTCCCCTTCCTTATGCAAGTGGACTATGTCAAGTCTATCAATGTCTGAAACAATCCCTGAAAATTGAATAACTTGTGCTTAATGGTTGTTTTAACTGGAAATTAAGTAAATGAAGGGCGGTCTCTGACTTTGGCACTGTACTGTATCTTTTCAGTGTTTTTCGGCCTGATGTAATTTTGTGAACACACAATGTAACATAGCAAACACACATATCGAGACTTCAGTTTTCTGAATAATGGAACAGTTGGAACAGTTAACCAAATACTTGACTACGTGTGCACATCCCTAGTGAGACTGTGTTTGTGTGTCTGTCAGAGTGTGCCATGTGAAGTACAGTGATGGGGTACCCCTGTTACGTACTCTGCTGCTGATGTACCGTGTCGCTCGATCGTCCCAATTTTGCTGCTTTCAAAAGAGCCGCCACGCTTGCATTTTGCTTTTTGGGTGGCTCACAAAAGACCTTAAAGCTAAAATACAAAGCTTTCCCCGCACGCACAGAAAGGAGCAGAGAATGACCAATGGCTGCTGCACTTATGGGTACATACAAACAAAACGGTGGCAGAGGTAGCCAAATCCACATGGGCTCACTGTTGGAAAACGTAAGCTAACTTATTACAGAGGAGAGGAAACTCACGACCTGCTTAGTGACCCCAGTGTGCTTTCTTTCTCGTGGGCTGGAGGAGGAAGGCTTCTATGTTTACATGTGTCAAACATAGCTGAACCAGTGAACATGGCTCAGAAAGAAAAGCATGTCCCAGTTCTAAAACATGGAACTCTCTCAGGTTCTGGAATTCTCATTAAGAAGGTTCGCTCAGAGCACAGAAGCCAAGAACGAGCCTACATTCAGCAGCGTTCCTGGAGCAAACAACTCACTGCAGGCTCTACCTCTGCCTGTCATAAAATGACTGCTGTAACTCTTTTCCCCCTTTTATTCAGTGGAGTCGGCCTAGAACAGCTCTGTGGAAAAAGAAACCTCTGAACATTGGCACAGCAACATCAGAACGTCTAGAGTTAGCTATCTGATAATGTGAGGCCTGGGCGCATATTCATAAAGCTTCTCAGAATAACAGCGCTGATCTCAGAGACCATCACTCCTACACTGAGAAGCTTTATGAATATAAGCCCTAGTCAAACGTAACATATTTCTGCTGTAGCTCTTTTTTTGTCTATTTAAACTGGTGAGATGGCCTGAAAGAAACACAATAATAATTCAGTTGCATCAGAATGTCTGGAGCTATTTGGCTATACAAGGTGAGGTCAAATGTTACAGGGTCATAGTCCAAAATCAAGGTGTGGACAAGATAAAATGTGTTCACTGCTCTGTACCAGCAATTACAGACCATAATACATTTCTGCAATTAGTGGTTAAAAGGCAATGCCTGCTGTTTTTCAAAATGTCTGCATAATTCAAACATGAAGCTGTAAACAAAGTCATTCAGAGTGATCTGATATGACATGCGCCGTTCCTGAGAACTTAACAAGCCCAAAATGATCACACAGATGGTGATATGAACCAAATATCTGACAAGGTTAGAGCCTCTAAGGTTCCTCACAGAAAGTTATTCCACAAAATGGATATAGATATGCTGCCTGACGCCTGAGACACTGTTTTACGATCTTTTAGAGATAAGCTTTTGGCCTAAAATGTATGTTGCCAAATATACTGATAGCAGAGAGGCAAATGCAGAGCACTATAAGAAATAACTGTGGGTTTTTTGGATTTACTACCGTTATACTTTTACAGACATTACATACAAAAAGTCAGAGGTTACCTGTAGGCCCATTCTTCATTCTGGATATCAAATAAAATGGCTATATTTGAGTTGTTGACATCACGACATCTGGTTCCTATTACTACCACTGTAAAAAGAGTCAGTAAGTTCCTCTACAATTAACTATTTCACAGTCTGTCACACTGAATGACCTTGTTTATGTCTCAACGACTAACCCACACAGAAAATTCGAAAAGTCGGTGTTATTCCCCTTTAACTGAATGTGGTAGACAGCATAATGAGGAGAAGTGTCCAAACAGCACAAATGGAGAAGCAGCTTTGTAAAGTAGTAAAGGGGCCAACTGTACGTCACACTGACACTCATAATCTCCATAAGAGGACCTTTTCTCAGACATTAAGAACATTTGCCTGCGTATTATACGATTAACCAAAATCTCCAAAGCTAATTTGCTCCTAGGCCACACGCTGATTTGATTCAAATAGCTCTTTTAACTAGTTCTGAATTAAGCAGTGCGCCACAGACGCTTTAAATGTGATTTAAATGCAAAACTACTGCAAACATCCAAATACTGTATACTGTTAACGTTACTAAAGGCAACGACCAGCTAACGTTACAGACAAACGAGTTGAGCTTCTTATTCGAACGTTCCGTTCCACCTTAAATTATACAGCCGCCAGAATGTAACTGAGGCACCATTTAAGGTGGAACGGAACATTCGAATAAGAAGAAACCAACTCGTCCCTCGCACCGCGGTCAGAGGGCAAATAACGGTGACCATGTTTCAAACAAAAGGTGGCGTTCAATAACTACGAGCCACGGACCTTAGTTAGCTGTTAGCAGTCTCTTAAAGAGCGTTAACGTTATTTCAGACAGTATTACACATTCTTACATTTCACATTTCAAAATCCCTATTTTTAAATAAACAACAGTCTCCCCACCTCAGCAGACACGCGAGCATTAAAGAATACGAGGTTAGCTTTAGCTGCTTAGCTTCGCTGAATCCCCAAAGACTGTAAAACCGATTAACTGTGCATTTGGTTACCTGTGCAGGGGCAGACAGACAGACAGAAAGGCAGGCAGACGATGCTGTGCCTCGCAGATTCGTCCCTCTCTTCGTTCTCGCCCTTTGTTTTGGTTTTACATCGCCTCCTGCGCTCCACGGCTCTCGCACTAACAGATGAAGACAGCAGAGAGGGTCTGGTTTTGGGGTGTGTGTGAATCTCTGACTGATGCTCGCTGCCTCTCGCGTGTGTGTGTTTGTGTGTACGCGCACAATCAGTGTGTGTTTCCCTGGCAGCAGCAGCAGCAGCGGCTACTCTTCTGCGACGCTGCGCATGCGCCAATGTCCCAGCCCACCGCCTACCAACAACACGGAGCGATGCGCCACCAGTCCACACATTAGAGGCCGTTTGCTTGTGCATTGCATGTTCTCAATGATGGATTAGGGTACTTTATATTACCACAGTCTTTTCTAAAAAAAAATAAACCAGTAAATAAGATTTAGAATTAAACAAGACAAAACAGCTCATTGCACCGCGGCCAGATTTAAGTCGTGGTCATGCCTTGGTTCCGTCGCTAGGTGGCGGTATTGTTCTAACTTTGATATAGATTTTAACGGGCTGAGAAACCCTGGTCCTGGAGGCCCACTGCCCTGCACATTTTAGTGCTTTTTTCTGCTTTAACCCACCCACTTTAACACAATAATGGGCTGTGAATGAAATGATTAGTTGGATCAGGTGTGTTGGGAGCAGGGAAAAAAGAAAAAAGTGCAGGGCAGCCGGCCTTCTGGAACAGGGTTGAGAAACACATATAGATCACTGGTCACCCACTCTTCTCCTGGAAATCTACTTTCCTGTTTTGTTCTTAACTGTATCTAACGTGTTGCCCCCTCTAACACTACTGCATCTGATCCATCCAATCAATCACCTCTGAAGATGTTAATTAGCTGGAGCAGGTGGGGAAGATTGTGGTTGGAACGAGAATCTGCAGGCAGGTAGCTCTCCAGGACCAAGGCTAGCGACCCCTGATGTAGATAAAGGGTCACCAAACTTGTATGGCTGCAGGTTTTCATTCCAACCAAGGATAATTAATGAGTTGTTTGATGGTTGAGACTAACTTATTAATCACATTGAATCAGGTGTGCTTCTGCAGCCACACTAGTCCTTGCTGAATAAGACTTGTGACCTCTGTTGTATTACATGTCCAAAAGTATCCGGACAAAGTATCATCTAAGGAGTGATTTCAGTTGCACAGATTGCTGACACAGGCATTCAGCTGTGCTCACACAACTTATACCTGCCTGGGCGATAATGCAAAAAATGTAATATTGTGATACTTCCAGAAATTTTCATGAAACATGATGTCATGATGATAATTTCTTCAGACATCTGATCAGTTGGAACTAAGAAAAAAGAACCAGTAGTGCTACATTGTAAAAAATACTATCAATAACTGGGAATACAAGGATTTTTATTCAGTATGTGGCACTAAATCCAGCTAAACAGAACTAATGTTGTTTTCTTTTTAAAGAAACATGCAGTAGGTCAGTGTTCTACAAGAACTGATGATATCCACAAAATGTTGTGGATAAGAGCATATTGTATTGTATTGCAACATAATTTATCATGATAATGATATATATATATATATATATATATATATATATATATATATATGTCATATTGCTCAGCCCTAGTTCCAACCTGCATCTAATAAGCTGCCTTGCCCCCTTACTTAACACTACTGCATCTGATTCAGCCAATCAGGGACTTGGAAATCTGGGACCATGGTAATTAGCTGGAGCAGGTGTGAAAGACATCTAAAGAGTTCAATGCCTTAAAAAGCTACCTCACAAAAGGTTATTCCATAAAATGGTGTAACTAGGGGTGACCACTGAAATCTCCATTGAAAAGCACTGCCAATAGAATAGGAAGATCTGGAGCAGCAGCACATGAGCCTAAGGTCACCATGCCCAATGCTGAGTGTCAGCTAGAGGAAATCCCCCAGCACTGGGGGTTGAAAGGTGGAACTGTGTTCTCTGGAGTGATGGAGCCCCATCCAATACCTTTGGGATGAGATTTGTGATCCAGAACTGATCATCCAACATTAGTACCTGATCTCACTAAAGCTCTTGTAGCTGAATACAGTCAATTTCTCATTGCCATGTTCAACATCCAGTGTAAAGCCTTCCCAGCAGAGTAGAGACTGTTACTGCAGCAAAGAACTGACTAATACCCTTGATTGCAGAGGAAACACTGCAACATCATATCAAAGTTTGATACATCAAATCAAACCAATATCATGTAGCGAAGCTGGAACATTCTTAAAATATTTATCTCTGTAACCTGTGTATATGTTTTATGCTTGGGCATGACATTTGATCAAAACGCTCCATGCCGTAACAGTCTGTAGGCCTCTCTCTGCGATATGCTGTAAGTAGCCTAGAAAATAAAAATTGGCAAAAAGTGAACCTGTACTACTGTATTGCGTACTGACCTAAAGGGACACTCTGGACAATTTACCATCACTACATCTGTACATGCATACATGCTTACTTAACTCTCAGAAATAGTGCCGCAATAGTCTACAGCAGTGTTTCTTAACCCTGGTCCTGGAGGCCCGCTGCCCTGCAAAGTTTTGTGTTTTTCTTGCTTTAACGCACCCAGTAAGTCAATAATGCTAATGAGCTGATTCGGTGGACCAAGTGTGTTGGGAGCAGAGAAAACCCTAAAAAAGCAGTGGACCTCCAGAACCAGGGTTGAGAAACACTGGTCTACAGAGTAAGATCTTAAGTACGAAAACCTGCTTCTGATGATGTATCTTGAGGGTGGAAGGAAGTTTTGAAAAACTATAACTGCTTTGACATGATTTTTCTGTGTGGGCTAAAATGCTAACATAAGTTTTTCAGTTTTTGGAATAATTTAAAAATGCCTGTTGCCCTTTACATTGTGTGTAAATTTCATGAAGAATGGACCGATAGAAATGGCCCACAATAACTTGGAAAAAAGTCTGGTTCCATCGACATACATTGAAAGTAAACTAGGTTTTTTCCTTTTCCTGTAAAGTTACCATTTTGGAGATACAAGATTTTCTTCTATTGTATATATATATATATATATATATATATATATATATATATATATATAATATATATATTATTTGTGGGTGTATATGTGTGCGTGCATACATAGGTAGCTTGGCTAGCAGTTAGGACTGTTTGCTATTTGAGCACTGCATAGATTACCAGTGGTTGTATGATGTATTCGCATTATGCAGGTAATAGTGAGAGAAGACTGATAAGTAGAAACATGAAAACGATACAAAATTGCAAATTCTGTCAAAACAGAAGCTGAGGCTGAGGGGTGCAATACTGCACTAGAGAATACTCCATAATACCCTTTCCTCAGTTAAATTATGTTAGGTCAAACTGGAACCGAGATCTGGGGTTATTTGGAATTTCTTCTGTGTTCATACGTGTTCAATTCCAGACCAAACCACACAGCCTTCCTTTAATTTCACCACTGACCAGTACAAACTGGAATTAATAATGATCAGTTCCAGTTACACAAACCACATCTTTGCACAGTGTAGTAGTTTCCCTGCTCATCTGCTTCAACTTAGGAAAGATTTGACACTGAAGTGCATTCAGAGGTAGCTTTTAAAAATGGACTAGTAGGGCTGAGGGCTAAGCTCTTCCTCTCTCAATAAAAAAGGCATCAAAATGAGGTGTCATTCTTCTGGCATCCACATTGTTTGACTTGCTGTTAACAAATGACTAGAAGCAAATTAATTTTGCTTCTAGCAAACTTTTGTGGACCTAAGAACACTAGCACCACCAAAAGGTTGTAAGTAAAATTTGAATAGGCTAAGATGGGTCTGATTTACATTAGCCCACACTGTAGACTCTCACAGCTTATCTGTGATTCCATGTCAAGTACATTGTGACGTATTACATAGAGTGAAAAGCCCCCTAGATTTGTTATCCATATGGGCTCATTTCTGAGCCCATGATGTCCGGCTCCTCCCTCCTGCAGTCTGCAGTTAGTACTCAGGAAAGGTCTAGTTCTGAAATCTGAACGGCAGAAACAAGCTTGAAGCCATTGTACAATAGTTTTGTTTACACAGATACAGCTAACTGTGAGCATGTCATTCCATGGCAACATTTAATCCAGAAATCTGAAAAGCCTGTATTTTCACCGATGCAATAATACTAATTTCTAGCACCTTTATGGGATTCACATTGTTATGCTAGCACCATGCAAAGGTGCTGTAGTTGCTGTACACACATTTGGAGCTTATAACTCATGTATTTGTCATTCAGCTAAGATACGTTTATTTTGTTTATTTCTGAGTCCTTTAATAATGATCTGAAATCTTGTCACGTTCTGCTCATGCTGTAGTTGAGCACAGGTTCAGTGCTGCTGTGGAATATAGTGAGATTGTTCTGTTAGTTTGCTATATTCATCAAGTAATGGTACAGATCAACATTTAAACATTTAATAGCAGGCTACACAGCTCATTTCATTGTTTAATTGCTTTAGTTTTGAAGGGGCTCTCAAATGTGGTGTTTCAGGGTGAGCTATTGATAGCCCTTCTGAAAAAATACAGCTCAGACCAACATGAATTTGATGCTGGTCTAAGCTGGTCTATCCTGGTTTATGCTGGTCTGCCACTGGTTTAGCTGGTCTTCGAGCAGGGTCATGCTCCATACCAGCATCCAAAACACAACATAGGTAGTTTGGTGGAGATCAGCTTGACTGCTTCCATTGCTGCTGACCATCCAAAACATAACAGATGGATTTTCATTTTTTTATTGTTTGAGCACAGCAGCTCACGTTGTGTCAAAATGTCATAATGAATTGGTCGACAGAAATGCTCCAAAAGTGCTTGGAATAAAATCTATTTACATAGATTTTACATTAAAAGTGAAAAATGCTTTCCCCACTCCTGTGAAGTTACCATTTTGGAGATACTTGTTTTTCTTTGGACAGCAATAATTTGCTGGTTTGCTGGTGTTTTTTTTCTAGTCCTCCCATGCAACATAATGACCAGTCATCACTGAGCACATTTAAGCAGTAAACATGTTAAATTGCACTGATTTGGCCTGCAGAACCATAATAATACCATACACCAGCAACAATGATAATGGTAATGTTTATTAAATAAATAGCAGCAACATCCGCACAAAAAAAAAGATAATGCAAAAGGATTTGAACAGGAGGCATGATCTGAACAGACATTCACAGATTCTGGTATAAAATGGCAGTTTGAATGAGGGAGATGTGTTAATACATAGTGAATACTAAAATTCTACACACTCACAAAACAGCAAGCATTTACAGCTTTTTACACAACAACACGTTCCTATAGCTCCTCAGAATACACGTTTTGGATCTGACAGACTGGCTTTCGCTGTCCTAGATGTGGCTTGTCCTAACCATTTCTTTCATGTTGTCTAGGCTTTCTGTGCAGTGTTGTGCTGTGCCTCTCCATTTAGTCTCAACACTGCTAGATAACTGACCTCTACATTCACTGGAGTTACTCCTTCAAAGCTAGTGGCACAAAGAGCACGCCACAAGAGAGAGAAAATCCTTGAGAAAGTAACTTCTAGAACCTCTCAGCAGAATCTGGATAAATCAGCCCGTGAACCAAAGGCAAACCTTTTTCAACCTCGTAGTCCATACGCTAAGATTTAAAGCACGGCTCTAGTGCACCATATCTTTGATTGCCCACACACGGCATGCTTTGATCAGAAATGTGCATTACAATTTGAATTGCATTCCATTCTACAAATTTGTCAAGGATGTACGGTTATAGGTGAGTGGCAGTTCTGGGATGGACGGAGGACTTCTTTCAGGCCTTTTCTGTTCTTAACCAACAGGTCATATGAACTAAGAATAAAATACCCCAAACACCGCATGGACAATTATGCATAGATAAGTCCTATTATCTACCAGTGATGTAAATGTATTGAAGCAAACGTATGCAATGTCAGTGTAATTTCATCAAAGCTTCAATGTATCTGGTGTGGTTCTTTTAATACCTGACATTTTTGTCTTCAAATGTAGTTCAGCCTCTTTTTGCTCTTTTATCTCACAAGCCACCTGCAACTCCTGCAATGAACCACATGAGGGTGCTGTAAACTCTCTGATTGGAAGCCTCGCTGCATATTCAGCAAGTCGCACTGTTTGATTCTGTTTTGCTAAGAAACTGGAATAAGCCATGCAACATAGTTATTATTTGGCATTCAGACATCTGAACTTGTTCAAACACAGTTCCATCAAGGAACTATGTTCTTACTAATAGCGCCAATTTCTCAGACCCAGATTAAGCTTGATCCTAGACTAAAATGACTTTGATTCACCATTGATGATACAATTAAGTCCAAGACTAGGCTCAATCCATGCCCAGGAAGTTGGTTTATAGATTATTTACTCGTATTTCATTCCTGCACAGTGCTGAGTGTCCTGGAAGTGCCCCGACGCGCCCGACCCAGGGTCAGTCTATGGTGCTTTGAGTCATTCCTCACCCAGCATACATTCTAGAATGGCCGAGTCACAGCCAGAGGCAGTGACGATAGCCAATCACAGTGCTGGCATGAGTTCCATTGGTGTGTGGGCAGTTCCTTCCTTGAGAAGGATGCAGACACACCCCAAGGGAATACATAAAACACAAGTTAGTCCCTTTGGGTTGACGTTGCACCATTTCGTAGGTTTTTTTTCAGAAGCTGGAGCCAATCAGACACTGCTGGTGTGTTCTGGGAGTGTTTGGCAGCTGTTGACGGACAGCGCTGACATCCCGGGTCGTAGCTCCAGTCCTGCTTCTGTGTCCGTGTCTGGGGGCTCCAGGTTTCCAAGCCCGTTCCCATCTCCATTCCGGCAGTTACTGTTCCGGTCCACTCCCACCTTGCCACAGATCAGGAGGGGTGTGACTGCAGCGTGAGACGGGCAGGGCTGGGCATAGATGGGAATGGGCTTGAGCCGCACTCCGCTGTAGCGGCAGCGCATGTAACTGGAGAAAGCCCGTCTGTAGGTCTTATTAAAGAGCGTGTAGACCAGAGGGTTGACCCCCGAGGATATGTAACCCACCCAAACAAAGACGTTGAGCAGTTCAGAGAGCAAGGGCTCATTGCATGCCCCACGGCACAAAACGAACAGCACATTGGTGATGAAGAACGGGCACCACATGAGCAGGAAGAGGAAGAAGACCACACCAAGAACTTTAGAGGCCCGCCGCTCGTTCTTGATGGCCTGCATCATGCCGCGGCGGCCATGGGCCCCGCCCGGGTCCCGTCCTACGGGTGAGTTGAGCTGGGACGGGGCCTCTGAACTGCCTACGATGGAAATGCTGTCCGAAAGTGTGGCAGGGCTCAGAGAGTTCCCATCGCCTCCCCCTAACCTAAGGCAGTTCAGGCTGCTGCGGCGAGAAGGGGCAGGGGGAGGAGCCAGATGGGAAGCAGACGGAGCTGGGGGCTGCAAGGGCTGCTGGGAAGAGGCCTTAGACTCATAGAGGAAGACAGATGCCTGGCGTTGGAGGGCCTGCACCGTGAGGCAGTAGGTGACGACCATGATGACCAAAGGGATGAAGAAGGCCACAAAGGAGCCGACCAGCATGAAACGCTCCTCATTCAGGACGCAGCTGCCGTTCACAAAGACTTTGTCCTTATTGCTAAGACCAATGACCGGGATGGGCATGGAGACACCTGAGAGAGAGAGAGAGAGAGAGAGAGAGAGAGAGAGAGAGAGAGAGAGTAATAGAGGGAAAGAAAAAAGAGGGAGAGGTTTGAGTGGGAACATTTGATAACTTATAATCAATAAGCAACATGCTTATGGGACCAGGGCCTAACTTGTAGCAGAACAAGCATGGTGTTTTAGTTGATCCAGAACCTTGTTCATATATATAAAATACATTCATGCGCTGATCTGAAAAGCAAAGTAATAAAACCACTTGTTTTTGACGTCAGGGGCCAGATTCACGAAAGTGTCTTAACAAAGAAAATCGTATTAAATGTGTTTTTTCTTAACTTCCTTCTTAGGAAAAACGTTATGAGAAATTGTTATTCTTCAAATAACGTCTTAAGAATTATCTTATTTTCTTTTCTTAACTACTTCCTTGAGATTAATTCTAAGAACAAGTGGTATTCTTGAAAATACATTTTATCCCTCAGACACATTATCAAAGCTGGGGGGGTGTTGCTCGAGCTTATCCAAGCAGTCACTGGGCAGAAGGCAGGAAACATCCTGGACAGGTTGCCAGTCCATTCCAGGGCTGACAGACAAACAGACAGAGACATACACATTCACACCTAGGGGCAATTTAGCATGTCCAATTGACCTGACCACGTCTTTGGACTGTGGGAGAAAACCGGAGCACCCAGATGAAACCCACACAGACACGGGGAGAACATGCATACTCCACACAGAAAGGACTTATAATAACCTCACACTTGTCTGAGGCCATAAGAGTTCACAATGTAAGCATCTAAATTTATGACAAATGCTGCCTCTGTTGCTCCTCCTGCCCATCCTCATCTGTCACCCCCCAATTATCATATTTTCCAACAAGGATTTTTTTCCTGCCGGCTATTTCTTCCACCATTACCTCCAGTTCTTGTTTGCTGTATTGTTTCAAACGCTTGTTTTGATGTTTTTCCTCTATTTTGCTGTCCTCTGAGTGGATTTAACTAAATAATGGAAATAACAGTTAATACAAATTTAAACTGTATTTCGTTTCATTTATGGTACATGGTAAAATGCAACGAAAGAAAACAATGGAGATTTTCTTAAGAATAATTAATTAAGATTATCTTAAGAGAATATATGAGAACTTTTCAAGTTTTTTTCAGGAACTGCATTTAAGAACAATCTTATGAACTTCTTAGTGTTAGTCTTCTTTTTCTTAAGAAAGCTTTCGTGAATCCAGCCCCAGTTTATTAACTACTCATGCAGTAGAAGCTTTGATAACACACTCAGTAGTTGTAAAGTACAATGTTATGGGCAAAGCTCCCTCCTCCAGGTCCTCCCCCGCCCCATGGACCTGCCGGATCCACTGCTATTCAGTGATCCAGGACATCATCATTTATTAATTAAGCCCTGCTAATCACTATTCTAAGAAATTTTGTGTCGGGCCACAAGAACTTAGCATATCTTTGACATGGGTTGTCCGCAGTGAAGACTTGAGTTTGACCTCTGGTCCAGGCAAGTACACAAGCTTGGACAGACTCCTAATGCTACATTTGCCTACCTCCATAATGATGATAATGATAAAATTATATGTCACTCTGGATAAGAATATCTGACAAATGCATAAATGCAAATCCATCTTCAACCTACAAATGCGTTCTTACAAAGCGACTGTTGCAAACTGATAAAAACCTCATTCAACTTACTGAGAAATTGTAGTGCAATTTTTTTATCAAAATACCTAGATTTTGAGTGCATTTTTCATTTCAAAATTACATTTCTTTGCAGGTGTTCCCTCTTTTCTCCTCTACAGAGCGTTCAGAATGCATTCAGAATGCTCCAGCTCGGCTGGTCCGAAGCCTTCTGAAACTCTCCCATGTGAGTCCTCTGCTGAGATCACTTCACTGGCTCCCTGTTGCAGCACAAATTACACACAAAGCTCTGGTTCTCACATTCCAGGCTTCAAAGAGCTCAGCCTCTCACCATCTCAGTTCAAAACCACATACCCACACAACAATTTAGGTCTTCGAATGTGCTCACAATGCAGTGTCTCACTGCTTCAGTGTCCCTCTGTGGTAGAATGAACTTCCCCTGCCATGGTCTGAAGATCTGTCTCCTCAAAAAATACATACGTAGAGTAACAACTTTCTGTACTCACTTGCTCTTCACATTTCACTGGTCCAATTTTTTCAACAATCCTCTGCACTGAAAATCTGTGTTTATTTTTATTTATTGACAAAAAAACCTGCATGTAAATGTGTTCTTATTTATTTAGTCATTTAACTAGTATCAAGCTATGATGGAGCTCTTGCGTATAAGGTCATATATTCTTGCAGATTCACTGGGTAATTTCTGTTGATTTGGCTTCCACTGTTTGACACATTTTGTAAGTCACTCTGAATAGGAGTGTCTGCTAACTGAATAAATGGAAATGTAGTCTGCCTTAGAGCAATAGTAAACATCCCTGATTGAACCATCTCCCAACTTCATACAGACTTTGTATGGCTTATCGTTTTTTTCACTGAGAACTATAAATTTCAGTTTCTATATCTACCCACTACTGGCTTGCACTGCCATGGGTGAAAAAGAGGAATGGCCATGCAGATAAGCTACAAGCAGAGGCTCTTGGGAAGCACCATGTTAATGGTAAGAGAACCTTTTACTGTAAATAAGGTGTTGTTGTTAGGTTAAAGGTGTGCACATGTGTTATTTGTGCTAATCTGTGCTGTACTGCGGGTAGTTGGTGCAGTGTAAGTGCCTACCGTCAGGAGAAAGTGACCTGCCTGCTATCTTGGCCAGTTCCACAGTACTGAGTGGCAGTTGTTCACTACTACTGTGTTTAATAAAAAAGCATTCACTGATAGTACCATGTTTCCTACATCTTTTTTGTTGATGCCACAATGTTATATGGAGATAATGCTGTCTGTATTTCATAACTTCAGTCATGCTACAACAAGTAGTGGTGTGAAATATAACAGTGTACAGTAAAAAATTATCTTGCCAGCTCGTAACCTTAAATCAGCTAAAGCCAATAAAATTGCGGCATAGCCTGTCAATCAAATGTCTATTCTTAAAAATGTTTTTTACACCTCCCAGTGAAAGTGTATTTATGTGTGCATCCCACATTGGGCAAATTCAGAGGACATCATCCTCCGCTTACTCTGCCAATATTACACTTTGGGCTTTATTTTCTACTGTGTATAATTTCAAAAGTTTGTTATCCAGCAGAATAAAGCCGGGTTCAAACTGATCAGGCTGATTTGCAAAAACACTTTCACTTTTCTGTTTTTGTCTGTCAGTGGTTTGTTAAGACCATGAAATAGGAAAGTGAAATATGAACATTTTTGACACTTTCATCTTGCTAACCCACAGGCTTGCCATTGAACAACTGATGGTAGAAAAAAACAGGATTGTAAAACATTTCAAATCAGGCTGCTTGATTTGAGTTTGCTTTCAGCCCTCTTACGGGTCAGCTTTTGAAGTTATGTGCATTGATGTGTCAGTGCTTGGTCCCCTAACTGCATCACATGCCAGTGGAATAGAGCTGTATGAAGCAATGCCTATATTTTACTTTCCCAGCTCACAGCTTTATGAACCACTGGTTAATTTGAACCAGGTTTGATTCCTCTGGGTTGTTAAACTTTGAAGTCAAGCTTTTGAAAATACAGCCCTGGAGTGTAATACTGGTGTATTTCAGGACTAACAAAATGCACTGTTACAGGCAAGTGTAAGCTATTCCACCACAAATTTATAGCTAAAAGAACCCTGAATCTGTAACTGCAAGATATCTCAGTGGGATATTCAAAAAATATTGATTGCACAATCAGAATAAATTTATGTATTTTGACACTACAATTTCTCATTAGTTTGAATGAGACCTGTCAACACTGTGGGATGCTTGTCCCACCTGGCAATAGCATGAAAGAACAAATTTGAACATGGATACGTTCATTACAAACAAGTTCATTTTCCCATTCATCAACATGAATCTTCCATAGTAACAAGTCATTGACACTACATGACTTCTCAGAACTCATTAGTTGTAGTGTAATCGAGGAAATAGGTGTAGTCTACTTCAGATGGATTTTTATCAATCAACTCATGACATTTGCAAAGTTCTGGCTGGAATGTGATTAAAACAAACCCTGGTCCCATTGCTCTGTTAGTGCAGGAGCAAGTGAGAACGCTGCCTTCTGAACTGTGGTGTGCACCAGATAAGCAAGCCAAGACCTCCTGAGTGGGTTGGTTTCAGTTTGCTTCAAAATGAACTCTGATGAGGTTTGTTTGATGTATGAACACAATAACAAAGATGTCTAAACAGACCAAAGACAGAATGAGCCATTCTCTCCTCTCTGCATAACCTCTCTAATCTCTTCATAACCTCCAAATTGATAATTATAGAACGGATAGTTTCACTTTCAAAACGAAGCTGAGGCACATTTGAAGTCATTATAAAACCCCTCATATGCACATTTAATGGCCCTGCTAGAAAAAAACAGCATTGGCCAGTATGGCTGGTCACCAGCAAAACCAGCATGTGTTGTGTTCGGATGTTGGTATGCTGGTCAGCAGCACCCATGACAATGTATATTATATTATGTATTACATAAATTATTATACATGAAAGCAGTAAGCCACTCAAGGCTGTTACAGGGATTTCACCCTGCTTTGCATCATGCAAAACCACACTGACAGTGGGAGTCCCGTGGCTTGTTGCTCTGATTTCACAAGATGGATAATGAACCCAGACAGATCGGAGAAAAGCATGATTTAGAAAGTTCAGTGGACATCATCACAGTTATTGTATGTCATAAAATCTGACCAATGAGTTGTGACTTTTTACTTTTTTTTGTTATTTTTTCTTACGGTTCAATGCTCAATATGTCAGTGTGAACTCTAACACCACATTAAAACATAACAGTATCATTTTCTGCTTTGGTCCTGACCAAGAGAACCGAACCACAAGTATAAATGCACCCTTGGTTACTGTTGCCATGTCCATCAAATTTTCACCTGGTAGCATCTGTGACACTCATGCTGAAAGATTAAAATGCTCAGTAGCACAAAGGAAAGCGTAGGGTGACTATTTTGAGTGGTCCTTTTTAGATAAAACAAACACTCCACAGACTCTCAGTAACATATCAACAACATATCAGTGATGTAGCAGCAGTGAATACATTCAGTAGATTATCAAGGTACTTTTAATTAACTTTGTGAATAAAATTAGTTTATAATTTGCTGAATTCAGTTGTTTTTCCACTTTACTTGGAGTGTCCAAGTTCATATCTGTAAATATTGTTGACCTGAGAGGTCACTGAACATATAACAGGTGTAAAACAGACCATCTCAACATCCTCAACAAGCTGTTACAGACATGCTGCTGACACCATTCTAAGAGGAGTTTAACTGGATTAGGTTTCGGTTAAAGTTAGGGTTAGGATTAGGGCCAGAGTGAGGGTTAGGATTAGGTTTTGGGTTGAGGTTAAGGTCAGGTTAGGATTAGGGCTGGGATTAAGAGTAGGTTTTGGGTAAGGTTGGGTAAGATTAGGTTTTGTTTAATGGAAGTAGAATATGAAGTCTACTTCATGTAACACATCAAGTTCAGTAGTTCACTACTGGTACTTCACTGGTATGTTGTTGATGTGTTACTAATACCTCGTTAAGAGTTTATTAATCATCTACAAAGGACCACTGAGAATAAAGTGTTACCAAGCTTGGAAGCACACTGAAAACATTTTATTGTTGAGGTTTAAGTGGAGACATACATGTTTGAGATCTAACAAAATATGAATGTAGGCCAATTTAAAGCAAAGAAGGATTCTGGACACTACATTTAGATATATAAAAAAGATGAATATTTTAGCCACTTTTTCATGTTTAATAAGGTGGAAGTTTAGCTAATGCTATGGATAACACTAGAGTTAGTCAGAGCAGCGTTCGAATCCGAACTTTAATGAAACATCAGAAATGTTAAAGTTTGTACAATTGTCTAGATATTTATCTTTATGCAGAATGTTTTAATTGCAAATGTGAGTGTGCTGTACTGTGCTGTTTAATCTGACACATTTAACACGCCACAGCTCAAGAACAAGTAACTCAGTTAACAAACTGGTCTTAACATTGCTCTCTAACATTGTCTTTAAACATCATACTAAAATTGTCATAAACACAAACTTAGATATTTAACTTATTGTAGAGCTGTCTAATAGTAGTTTTGATACTGAACTGAGAGTGTGGTCTTTCACATAGATCTGGATTAAACTGTCTTCAGCTTCAGGAATGAACTAAAAGCAGTACTACAGGTGATAACAATAGCATGAGTTTAAATGAAACCTTTCTCAGTAACACATTTTTCAAACATTCAATTAGAATATATTGTCTGCGTTAAATAAGATAATATATGGGTTGGTTTTATGTGTTGATGTGTTGCTCTAAACTGGAAATAAGAGGAAATAACACTTTCTTTCAACACATTTCTTTACATGTCTTTAACCGATCTGTTCTGGGACTGTAGTAGCATTTAACATTAAATAATGCTAAAACATCTAACTTGTTAGAACAGCAGCTCAGAAACTGCCACTTCAATCAGCATACACTTATCTCTGCACATCTCGCTTCCTAGTGGCTGAATAAGTGTATATTCTATTCAATTAGAGACGATGAATCAGAGCCTCAGCAGATGGAGGTTTAATTCTGTATTTGATTGCAGTTAGGAATCAAATAAAGGAAGGGCTCGAGTTCAAATAATGGGTGGAAATTCAGCCAGTTCTCTCAAATCAAATGTTTTTGATGAGAGCAGTACTTAAGGTATATGTTTAGGCATCAGAATGCTGATGAAGGCTTAGCCATTAATGCATTCATGAGGAGATTAAAAACAATGTTGCTGAATTATTGAAAGCAAAATGCATCTTGATGAAGCTTATTTGGTCGACTCATTAAACTACAACAAAATGCATTGCTTTTTAAATAATCTTTAACCTTTTCACTACCAGTCTTTTATAAAGTCAAGGGTAAGATTTGATCAAATAAATGCTATTAATCTTGATTAATTACACAAATGAATATGATTAAGTATAACTAATTATTTATCTAAGCCATAATTTATTCTATTGTTGTCCTTTCCATACAATTTTCTTAGAAGGTCCATGACTTTTGCACAGAGATGCACCATGTATGCAGGTTAGGGTGTGAATGTATAACATTTTGAATGTGGATGTTTGGAAAATTGTTATGCATCTGCACATTTCTTATTTCTGGGAGGAGACAGCGAATTAAGCAAGGAGGGGGAGGTTTTCTGATGATACTTCTGATGATAACCAGATCATTAAAGGTCTATAAGTAAGTGCCGTACTGGCAAGCCTTTTTTTGCTGCTCATGCATTCATAGATGGTGGTGGTTATTTCCTTGACGTGTACTAGCTGGACTGAAGATTAGTTGTTAATGTTTAGATAACAGATTCATCATAAGGGACAACAGCAACCCCACAACACCAGACCTTTCTACATCTACGTGGTACAAATAATAGATCATAAAAAACCTTGGAAAACTGGACTGGAGGTAAGGGCAGGGCACAATGTACAGCTGCCTTCTAGCACTTCTTATTATAGCCTCGATCCAGGTGGACACGCCATGACTCATCTTTCTTAGTGTGTACTAAATATATGTATGTGTGTGTGTTGCAGTGAAGGTATATCTCTGTATCTTTGTGAAGGCTGTAATAGGAGACATATAAAGGTGGTTCATATATGTTATATACTCTATATGGCCAAAATTATGTGGACAACTGACCATCACATCTACATGAGGTTGTCGGACTTCCCATTCCAAAACCATGGCATTAAAATGGAGTTGGCCCCTTTGTGACTATACCAGAGTTTACTATTCTAGGAAAGTTTCCGCAAAAGTTTGGAGCGTGTCTGCGGGAATTTCTGCCCATTCAGTTAAAAGAGCATTTATGTGGTCAGGCACTAATGTTGGAAGAGAAGGCTTACATTCCAGTTCATCCCAAAGGTGTTTTCATAAGGTTGAGGTAAGGGCTCTGTGCAGTCTGAGTTCCTTCACACCAAATTCATCAGGGATGCACAGGGATACAGTCATGCTGGAACAGGAAAGAGCCTTCCCCAAACAAAGTTGGAAGCTTATAATTGTCTAAAATGTCTTTGTTTGCTGTAACATTAACATTACTCTTCACTGGAAGTAAGCGGCCGAGCCCAAACCATGAAAAACAGCCCCAGACTATTATCCCCACTTCACCAAACTTTACTGTTGGCACTGTGCATTCCAGTAGATAATGTCCTCCTGGCATCTGCTAAACCCAGATTCATCCATCAGACTTCCAGAGAATAAAGTGTGAGTCATCACTCCAGAGAACACAGTTCCACTGCTCCAGAGTCCAGTGGCAGTGCGCTTTGCACTACTCTAGCCGACACTTTGCATAGTGTATAATGACCTCACATTTGTGTGCAGCTGCTCAGCCATGGAAACCCATTTCATGAAGCATCTGACGCACAGTTCTTGTACTGATGTTGCTTTCAGAGGCAGTTTGGAACTTATGCTATGCGCTTCTGCACTTGGCGGCCCTACTGTGTGAGTTTGCATGGTTTGCTGCATTGTGGCAGTACACCTGAACTCAATAATTAAGTCCACATACTTTTGGTCATATAGTGTATATCGTCAAAAAAGTTAACATTTTGGAGGTACACAGTTTTGGAAAGCTACAGTTCCCCTCAAGATTCTTCACTGTAAGAAGAATTCACAAGCTGCACGAACAAGAGCCGAAGGATGTTGGGAGAATGGACTGTAATATGATATGTATCTTTTCTAGGGTTAAATTTGAATGAGACAAAAGCAATCAATCATGATTAACTACATAAATTAATGTGATTAAGCATGATTAATTATTTATTACAGCCATAATATATACTCTCATTATACTGTACATATCATTTTCCCATGACTTTTGCACAGGAATGCGACATGTTTATGTGTACGCAGGTGAGAGTGTATGCGCACGGCATTTTGATAGTGGATGTCTTGTTCAAACTGTATGATATGCATTTCTAATTTCTGAGATTAGACTGTGAATGCAGCAGAAAGGAGGGAGAGTCAGAGAGAGAGAGATGGCGGGGGAGGTTCTCTGATGAACATGATAACAAGATCATTAAAGGTCCATAAGTAAGCCCCCCACTGGCAAGCCTTTTTTGCCACTCATGCGTTCAAAGATGGCCTAAGACACTTTGATGTACTCCTGCTTCCAACTTGTCAGTTGGGGACCCTTGTGGTTTGACCTTACAATGTCTAAGTCGTTGTTGCCTAATTGTAATAAACATTTTTGGACACTAGGGGGCCATCTTTGCATTTGAAAAGTAGAAGAACACATTTAGAGTGCAGGGAGGTACTCCTTCTGCTGCAGTGCTGCCCTTCTTAAACAGAGGAGCTCAAGCAGAACCCCTGAGAAACTCCAGCATCTCTACAAGTGTCAGACGGCCTCTCTCCAAGTCTCCTCTCAGGTCCTGAGGAGTGCTATGGGACTCTTGAGGTACGGTAGTGGAATCAAGGGGACATTTGCAATCTGTAGTGCACTTAAACCACAAATCAGGAATTGCTGCAACTGGGACACTTGGAGTACTGTGACAACATAGCCATTTGAATAACATTAACCAGACCAACCAAAACATACAACAGGTTCATTTACACTCAACACTAAGAGAGTAGCCATGGAGCCGCTTCAGCATTTCCTGAATAAGGCTTTAACTGGCCCTCTACAAACAACAGCAGTCAAACTGATCTGAAGAATAATATGGAGGGCAGCCATGAAGACCAACAGAGTACATTTATTTCTCTGCACTTAAGCATCTTCGTTAAGGACAATTACTTCTCATTGCTAGCAACTTGTTCTTCATTGATAGAGATAACATCTGTCTTTTCCCTGCTACATACAGCAACTCAGAAACACTGAAATGCATACGTCAGCAGTATACCTATAGAGATGGTCCAGACGGCGGCTATTTTCAGCATGGCTTTGGTGCGTGAGTTAAAGCGGCTGTGCTGTATGGGGTTGCAGATGGCCACATAGCGGTCCAAAGAGATAGCACACAGGTGCATGATGGAGGCCGTGGAGAAAAGCACGTCCAGGTAGATCCAGATTGGACACAGGGCATTAGGCAGCGGCCAGGCATAGTCTAGAGAGAAGACACAAAGAGTATGTAACTGTTAGTAATATTATAACTACAGGCTTAATTAAGACTATAACTATATTGTTAACTAATAACTATAGTTTAGACTATAATGATATGTGTTTTGATAGTTTTGACTAATGTTATAATTATAGTCGTAAATAGAACCAAAAATACAGTCTTAATTACAATTAATATTATAACTACAGCCAAACTGTGCAGAAGTCAGAGACCACTCCTCATTTACCCAATTTCCAGTGAATACTGCAATTTGTTTATTTTTCAGGAGATATTGCTGAGGAGATTAGATAATCTACTTGCATAAGGGGCATAGGAAAAGACAAAGGAAAAAGTGAAAAAACAGTGGGTTCTAAAACTGAAGTTAAAAAATATAAAAACATATAGACAAAATTCCTAACAACAGTGCAAGACATCTTTTTCATCTCTAGGACAAAGTCAAGCTCCACTCTTGCTTCAAAATCAGATAAAATCCATGTGTTTCTGTCCGTCCTTCCACTGTGAGAAGACATCTCTGAATGTGCTTTAGATTCAGAAGCAGAAAATACCACCAACTTCTAAGATATTCCTGCAGATTTCTTCAAACAACTGAAAGCAAGTCCTCTGAAAAGAATGGAATAAAGGAAAAGGGTGGACAAAATTATGGTATTATATTGTTTTGAGGTGTAATTTTCTGTTAAATATATGCTTCCTGGAAATTAAATAAATGAAGGGGGTGTCTGACTTTTGCATGATAGTTACGATAGTGTTAAGTACAACTAACACTGTAACTTTAGTCTTAAATGGGGCATTGCTAGGCCAGTTTTAGTCTCCCTTAAATATTATTTAGCTCCCTCAAATGAAAGTAGATTACTAGTTCAAATTATGACCAGTATTGTGCTTTTTTTCATTATCATTCAACCATGTTGTTGTGTCTCCAAATTCACAATATACTATCATAGCAGGGCACACTGGGGGAGGTGCTGCTGCTGCTCTAATCCACTCCTGCATCAGTGGTGCTACCAGAGATATTCCACCATAACAACAGGAGACGGCAATCCTCTGCTCTTCAGCTTTGGTGTAACACCACCTCAGCTGATCAAATCAGACCTTGTAAGTTGTAAACCAATCACATCAGACCTCATAAGTTGTAAGCCAATCATCAGACCTGGGAGAGGGTCTCTGTTACTATTCACTCTGCAAAGTAACATCAATCAGCGACTGCTGAAGCTGTGATGAGACTTTAGCTAGAAGCACACTAAAATAAAGATTAGGCCAAAATATAGAATATACAGTCTGAATTAGTAAGTAGTCAAAGAGTGAACAGAACCACAATTTGCACAAATCCATATTGTAGGTGTCTATATTAAAAATACATAATATACGGTCTGAATCAGTAAATAGTTAGAGGGTGAAGATACCCACCTACAACATGAATTTGTGCAAACTGTGGTCATTTCAGCTGGCTATCGCGATTTTAGCTGGTTGCTCTTTAGCTAGATAACTTTAAGTTCATGTGAGGTACAGAAAAGGGCATAGGGGGATATTTGTTTTAACATTTCTGATAAGTATTCAATCACACCAGTATTAGCTCTATTTATTGTTTTACTGTAGATATTGTCATTGTAACAGTTTTATATTAGCTCTATTTATTGTTTTATTGTAGATATTGCCATTGTAACACAGTTTTATATCCCTGAATTCCTCAGTCTGTAATGTTAGATGGTGATTAAGAGGTGGCAGCTACATACACAGCCAGTCAGATGAGAGGATTCAAAAATAAAATAATAATAATAATAATTACCAACCATACTTAACAAGAAATTTCTTAAAACGCACTTACACAGTTTTCACAAAGATTCTGGCATTCAACTGCATTTTCTTATTTTGGGCAAAGGTGTGAACAGTTCTGCAGTTTAGGAACGTGTCATGAATCTGATGTAGACTCTTTCTTAGGATCTTTCTCAAGTACTAATTGAACAAAAAACTTAGGAAGATATTAACGAATGAGGTCCAATGATCCTTAAGGTCTTGTAAATCTAACACACTACTAACCACAGGCAAGGAGAGGGAGAGAAAGAAGCTGAAGGAGACTGACAGAGCTGAAGAAGCAGGTCTGATGCAGGTAGTGATCAAGAAGAAAGTGAGTGAATGTTGTTTAAGCTTTCAGTTAAAATTAATATTGATTTTGTAGAAATGTTATTCCCATAATATATCCTCATCTGTGAGACTAAATGAAAAAATAACTGAGAAAACATAATTTCTGCGCTAGACTACCAAGAGTACAAAACAAAATCACACTCTATTTGTACAAACTGAGACTGTACTTATCTTACATAAGCTGCATATATGAATAACATATTGCTGCTGTCAGAAGAGGGCGGCACGGTGGTGCAGTGGGAAGTGCTGTTCCCTCACAGCAAGAAGAGCCAGGGTTTGATTCCCGGGCCTGGCGGGTCCTTTCTGTGTGCATGTTCTCCCCGTGTCTGTGGGGGGGATTTCCTCCCACAGTCCAAACACATGCCGTCAGGACAACTGGACATGCTGAATTGCCTCTAAGTGTGTGTGTGTAAATGTATATGTCTGTATGCCCTGCAATGGACTGGTGACCTGTCCAGGGTGTATCCAGCCAAATGACTGCTAGGATGGGCTCCAGCCCCCCTGCGACCCAGAGGGATAAGTGGCTTAGAGTGTGTGTGCATGTGCTGTCAGAACAAAACATTTTATCTCCAAAATGATAACTTTACAGGAGAAGGAAAAAACATACATTACTTTTAATGTAAGTCAGTGGAACCAGAAATTTTTCCCAAGTCTTTTTGGGCCGTTTCTTTTGGTCCATTCATCATGAAATTGACACACAATGTAAAGAGCAACAGGCTTTTTCAAATTATGTCAAAAACTGAAAAATGGAGATAAAAGGTTTTGTTCAGTGATAAGTAGTTATATTTAGGAGCTGCAGCTTATCTAAGAGAGGAGATAACAATACTTTACTAATACCTTTGTTTGATCTGTAGTCTGCGTAGGTGGACAGACATAGTATTTAAGTAGTAAACAATTTGTGCTTCATACACTGCGAAGAAATAGATTTGTGCTTCATACACTGCGGAGAAGTAGTGCCAACTTGACCAGCTATTCTTGATACATTTTCTGCCCATTGCTACTTTAAAAGTTCATGACAAACAGACCATTAAAACATCCTTCTAGAGGAGCATGTGCCCAGACCCCCTTTGTAAAGGCTTAGCCCCCTATCCATGAATCTCTCGTGACATCCCTGGTCTCAAACAAAACTATAGTCTGAATAAAGTATTGTTGAAATCCTTCTTAACAAAGACAACAGGTGTGAAATGAACTGGCGAGAGAGAAAGAACAGAAAGATCACGGTAGATCTACTCCATGTAATCTGGATTTACTCATGGCATTAAAAAAGGTTTAAACCACTTTGATAAAGCTGAAAGGGTCAGTTTGCACTAAAGCTGACCTGTATTAATAGAGGATCTGGGGAAAAGGAGGGTCATATTGAGGGGAAAGTGCTGGAGACGTGAAGCGCAGGGTAATACCACGGTAACAGACTGCTTATCAGCATGGGAAAAGACTCTGGAGCCCAGCGCTCATTCCAGCTGATCAGAGCTAAGCTTTGCTGTGACAGACCAGGGAATGAGCGTGTGAACAAAGGGGACTGTAAAAGTGTGTTTGGACGAGGAAAGTACAGCAGATACATTAGATCAGCACTCTTCCTCTGAGAGTCAACGCATAATCGTCCTGATCTGCACTCAGGCGTAGAGCGCAGCTCCGCTTGTTCCCAAAAACTCTGACTCCAGGTCAGTGAGACAAACCCTCTCAATGCCAGCGCTCGCATTAGCGTGGGCTGTTTCTTGAGACAGACGGAAAGAGAGTGAGAGAGTGAGAGAGAGAGAGAGAGAGGGAGAGATACAGGGATTGTCTCTTCCTGATCCAGTTTCTCATCCCTCCATTCATGTTTTTTTTTTTTTCAGTGTTCCAGGACGGTCCCTGCTGCGCGTGATTACAGTTCTCCAAAATAAGGAAAAAAACAAGACGCACCAGAGCACAAAGGCATGGATGGATTATAGGGGTCAAATAAGGAGCGATAGAAAGAAAGAGAGAGAGAGAAAGAGACAGATAGAGAGAGAGAGAGAGAGAGAGAGAGAGAGAGAGAGAGAGAGAGAGAGAGAGAGAGAGAGAACGAGATAGACAGACAGGGAGGGGGAGAGAGAGAAAGAGAGAGAGAGACAAATAGATGAGGGAGAGAGAAAGAAAGAGACAGACAGACAAGGGGGAGAGAGAGAGAAAGAGAGAGACAGATAGATGGGGAGGGGGGGAGAGAGAGAAAGAGAGAGATAGAGATAGACAGGGAGAGAGAGAAAGACAGGGAGAGAGAGAGAGACAGACAGAGAGGGGGGAGAGACAGAAAGAAAGAGAGAGAGAGAAAGAGACAGACAGACAAGGGGGGAGAGAGAGATAGACAGGGAGAGAGAGAGAAAGAGAGAAAGAGACAGACACAAAAGAGGGAGAAAGAGCGAGAGAAAGAGACAGACAGACAGACAGGGGGAGGGGAGAGGGAGAGAGAGAGGGGGAGGCAGAAAGAGGACTGAAACAGCAAGGATAAAGAGAGAAAGAGTGGGGGAGAGAGGAAAAGAGAAAGAAAGACAAACAAAGAGAAAAAGCTAGACATAGAGAGAAAGAACCAGTGAAAGTTAAAGGGAATGGCAAAAAGAAAGAGAAAATTAGAGAGGAGCGATAGAGAGAAGTAGGAGAGAGGAAAGACAGAACTAGAGAGTAAGCTGAGAGGGAGACACAAGAGTGGATTAAAAGTGAACCAGCAAGAGGTAGTGAGAGAGAGAGAGAATGAGATCATAATGATCTTTTAAATTATTGTGTGGATTAAGTGTGATTTCTTTGTGTGTGTGTGTGTGTGTGTGTGTGTGTGTGTGTGTGTAGGATGAGTGCTGCACTCTGAAGTGACGTACACATGATTGGAGCATGACTGTGAG